GCAACGAGTCGTTGTCTGCATCAGTTCAACACAAACAAAGCACGCCACAGTTTAGTGAACGTGTCGTGCGTGTCGTGCGTGCGGTTGGCGTGTCATGTGCGCTCATACCCGTCTTCTGGTACTCGAAGCCAGCGGAGCAGAACTGAGGCGACCGCCCGTTCTCGACGTCGGTGAGGAAGTGGCGGATGATCTCCGTGGGAATCACATACCCCACGCTCTCCGTCCACATGCCACCCATCTTCTGGAACACCACGCCCACGATTTTGTTCTCCTGGTCGAGCACGGGTCCGCCGCTGTTGCCCGGGTTGATCGCCGCGTCGATTTGCAGCGTCAACAGCTTCAGGCCCTCATCCTGCATAACACATAAGACACACGACACACGCGCGCGACACACCACAATCAACGTATCGGCAACGAATGGCGATGCGTCAGCTGATGCCTGATGGTCATGGTCGCAAGCTCAGGCGTGAGACGCTTACCTTGAAAGAACGCACGATCTGGTACTGCTGCAGTTCCAGACGCGAGACAACGCCTCGCGTTGCGCAAAGGCTCTCGCCGCCCTCGGGATAGCCCTGTAGCACAGCAGACGGCCATCGGAGCAAGATCAGACGTCAGGCGCACAACGCGCGGAACAACACGCGACGATGCGTACAAAGACGACAACGGTGTTCTGAAGGCTGGGCGTGTCGACAAACTGTAGCGGCTTCAGCCCATCGAAGAACTTGGGGTTGGACACCTCCAACAGCGCACTGGTCATGTCACACACAATTCCACTCAATCAGAGAAGAGAAGCAATCTTGCCAGGCGAGGACAATTGCAAGACCACGCAGAAGGGGGAGGGGGAAGGAGGGGGCAGTATACAGATCGCAGTCCTGGTTGATGGCCACCACGGTAGCGGAGAAGAAACGCGCGGTGTCCTGCCGCTGTGCTCGGACGAACGTGTTGTTGGCCACCACGTGTGCTGCGGTCAAGATTCGGAGCTTCCCTGAGCAGCACGACAAGTCCTCGTAAGCACACGCAATGCAACACACACGACACACACCGCACACAAACGACGCACACGACACACGACACACACACACACACACACACAACACATGCCTACGTACCGGGAGGACTCTCGATGACGCACGCGGAGCCGGAGGTGTAGTAGGGGTCGCCCTTCTGCCACGGGAGGGAGTAGTCTGGTTCGGCCGCCGCCACCTCCAGGCGCACCACCGAGCGCAGCGCCTCGTTCTGGCCCACGATGGCCACCGGCACTGGAGCCGCGGTGGTCTTATCGCCAGCCATCTCCGACCCGATCAGTTGTGGGGCTGCCAGCGCCTCGGCTTCCGCCTTGCGCTTGCCCAGCCCGCGTGGTGCCCGCTTTGTGACCTCCTTGGTCCGCACAGACGATGAGACAGCCGGGTTATTATTAATCTTCATTTTCGAAGATGCTGCTGCGGAGTAATCTCGTCGTGTGAGAGGGCCATAGCTTTGGCGCAGCGTCTTGACAGCCCGTGAACTTCGCAGGTGCCCCCCTTGCTCCGCCCAGCCTCGGGCCAACGTCGAGATGAACCCTTGTCGCATCGCTTGGTTCACTCGGGATTTCCTGAATGATTTCTTTTTTAGAGTGAACTTTTATTTTTGTTTTTCAAGCTTTACTGGCTCGGCGCCATGTAGTCCTTCCCGTAGGCGTGCTGCAGCATCGGTTCGTAGTCCGCCGCCGACGGGCACCACATCACCTGTCCCTCTAGAGGGCATGGCACGACCTCCCGGGGGAAACTTGCCCGCTGCGGTCCCACTTCGGTCGCGTCGGTGCCGTACCTGCCAGCGAATTCCTCCACGCAGAAGACGTCCATGTGCGCGGTGTGCCCGTCGATGTAGGCGACCAGCCGGGCGAACGGACCCACGAACGAGACCGAGTCCTCCTGTGAGGGCACGACATCACCGGTGCGGTTGTAGCGAAGACCATCGCCGGGGAGGTCCATGGCCCGGTGCTCGTTGACGATCAGGCGGACCTCGCCGTCGAGCCAGGGCTGATGGTGGGCCACCGCCGTGTTCCACTCGATCGAGACGCCATCGATGGAGGACCACAGCTGCCCACTACTGGTGGCCTGAGGCTGTCCCGCCGCGAGGTCTCGTATCATCTCGCCTGTCTCGCGGTCGATGGCGATGTCGAGGTCGGAGTCCCACGGGATGATGCGCCCATTGCGCAGAGCGGCCAGCAGGGTGCCGGCGACGGCCACGTAGCGCCACCCGAGGGTGTCGGCCAGGCGGACCCAGCGGTAGATGAGGTAGCGCAGGCGAGGGTGGGAGGCGCTGATCCGTTGGTTCGGGTAGATGAGGTCGTTGGGCGGGTAGGCCTCGTAGGGGTTGGCAAATACTAGAGAGGTGTGAGGCATGGCCGTTGAACGAAGAGGAGGAGTGCTCTGGGGTGAGTTCAAGCTGCTTGTTGGTGATTCTTGTGGCTCCTGGCCGCCATCGGAAGTGGTGTTGGCCGTGGAGAAGTACACCTCCGATAGGAGGCTTTCATGGTACCCGAAAAACAGCCAGCACGCGAAGGCCAGGCAACTGACGATGTAAACCACGTTGACCCATCGAAGCTGGAACCAGCCGTACATGTTGAAGGTGTTATGATGCGAAGAGAGAATGCCAGTTCCTCCTTGCGGGGCTCAGCCTGGAGCACCTGTTCCACTGAGGCACCCAATCCCATTGGAGTGTTGGGCACCTCAACATCCATGTCACCAAGTGTTCGACCTCTTGTGCTCTTTGTCACCGTGGAATGGAATGAAATTCCGACCTCACTGTCGTGCAGAGAGTGTATCGGCACGAGTGGAGTAAAGAGAAAGAAGAGAGAGACAGAGCGTTTGAAGCTCTGTGGCCTCAACCGCACACGGCCCGCCCTACACACAACATACAGTCTCCGAACACTCAAAGGCCAAAAAAAAGTCAAAACTGGTCAACGCACAAACCGCCTTTCTTTTGTTGCCGACAACGAACAAAGAATATCAAAAATAATAAGTAATTTGCGCGGTGAACCGGCGACATTCGGCCTAACACCTCCTTTGCGTGGCGTAGGCTTGCGCACAGCGAAGACCACTTCACGAGGTATTGGCCTTTACTCGATGGAGCAGATCTCGGGTGACGGCGAAGCCCGACGCCGAACCGAGCACCACTGAGTCACGCTGGCAGGCAGGACACACGGCCGTCTCGGCCGCGACCGCAGCCTCTACGCCGACCGGTGGCAGCCTGGTCCATGTCTTAATCTCGCTCGGGCGGAAGGTGGCGAGGCAGTTGTAGCAGCCACAGACGTCGCTCCTCATGACCTCGTCCTTGTGGTCTACGGCGTGCGCACGGATGTCGTCGATGTGGTCGTCGAGAGTGAGCAGTCGCTGTGTGCGCCGTTCCTCCTCCTCGGGCCGGATGTCGAACGTCCACAACACCGGGTCCGACACCTCCACCTCCGCTGTCTCTGCCGCCATTTCGTTCGATGTGCTCACCAACCCTCCAAACTCCATCGACGCCAGCGCTGTCATCATCGTACGAAGACCACTATAGGTAAGCATCGTCCAACCCCGCTGCCAGACCATGAAGTATATGAGAAGAAATGGTACCCAGGTCCCATCGCAGGCCCTTGGTGGTAATGGACCGGCATTGGGTGCCAAGGGGCACCAGACTGCAGAAGATACGTCGCTTGTCCTGTGGTCGCAGCGCTATGTTCGTGTGGATTATGTGCCTCCCTGGCACTAGCAGGAAAGTCTGCGCACGACAGCGATAGAGCACTGATGAGTTGGCGGCCTCAAGTTGGTTCGGTGGTGGTGCGGGAGAAAGAGACGGTCATACGAGGTTGAGATCGGAGAGAAGGAAGATGCGACGCTGGCGATACTTGAAGAGGATATTCACGTTGGCGAGCTCATGCGAGAAGTTGCCGCCCAGGCCGCCCACCACGCACAGGTTCGTGAACTGATGTGAAGGCAGTGGAGAATCGCGATCAGGTTCGTGTTGTGACACAACCGGTACGATGACGTGAGCTCCATCGTGAGAGTGGAGCGGTACCGTTTGTCCCTTCTTGTGCTCGATGTCCTTAATCTGCAGCACACACTTCTCCAGGTCTGTAGTGTCTTGGTCACGGCTCTGCACTATAGCCGTACCCTACGCAGATACAGAGAGCGAGAATGAGGGACAAGGCCAGGAGCCACCACCAACGCCGGCAAAGTGCTGAAAGAAGCGAACCTTGCTGCGGTAGTACTCCATGACAGATGGTCGCAGCGAGTCCATATCACCAGTGATCACGTCAGGCACGAATCTGCAGAGGATCCTCGTCAAATTGAGATGAGAGAGATGTGGAGAGAACACTGGAAAACTACCTCCGCTTGTCGAAGGCAAAGACGCGATTGCCGCCTCCGTCAGCGCAGACCTTGACGCCAGCTGCAACAAACATCCACAAAAGTTGCTCAGCCAAGGCGATCTCGACGCGTTGATTTTCGGCGCGTACCTTTTGGACCAGAGGAATGGGGAAGAAGCGGTTGTGTTTTGGGGATGGCAGAGTTGGCAATGATGAGAGCCAAAGGCACGTCCTCCATCTTTCTACCAGCCACCTCTTCCATCGCTTGTGTGCTGCTCGTGGCGAAGAAATCGGCACAGTTCCAAATCGTGACATCTTCCGCTGGCGTTGCCGAGATCGTGATGGGTTCCTTGTCGAGCGAGTAGGGCATCTTTGCCAACGGTGTGGAGTGCATCATCCGAACACCATGGCGTCCTCGCCACGCGTACCACAGTCTTGCTCTGCGCATGTGTTTTTATTTTCGTTATCTTTGTGACGTAAAAAAAGGCATT